GCGGGAGCAACACCGAGGGTTGCGATCCCGTGGCCGGTCCTGGTCCGGTGCGGGCGCGACAATGAGGGTTGCGATCCCGTGGCCGGTCATGAAAAAAGACAAAAAAAAGGGAAAAACAAAAAAAAACAAAAAAAACCCAAAAGACATTTCATAAGAAAGTAGGGAAATACCAGTATTTCTAAATTAATGAATATGTAGTTTCAAATGTGTATATTTAAATTAATAAATACTTTAAGGAGATGTTTATTTTATCTATATCCCTATATAGTTTACTTATTGAAGTCTGCCACAAAATTTTTTTCTTATTTTTTAATTCTTACTGGGGGAAATGTAGATTACCTTATATTTTGGTATATACAGTACATGAAAGACACTTTACGATATCATTAGAAATAATTACTAACACTATTTTAAATGGCTGCACAAGATGCATATACTTTTAAAAGTATTTTCTGCCTTTTTTTGGGCACTTAGGTCTTTCTAACTTTTCATTATTATAAGTGCTGCTATGTTAATAGCTTCACATATATATTGTCAGCATATCTGGTTACAACTTCACAAATTTTTCATACATATTAACAAATTGTTTCCCAGAAAGCACTCTCAACAAGTGTATGATGGCAGTTTCACTGTAAGCTGCCCAACAATCACATACTATTTTAGAAGAATCTACCAGTTTCATAGGACAGTTTTTATTGAGCTCTTCTGTATGCTAGGCCCTGTATTACACTGGAGCCTGCTCTGTCATTTCTACTTGTAGGCCTACTTACTCAGAGTGCTGACTTGGAAAAACAAGGAAGAAGCTGTTTATACTGTTATATGTTTAGACCAGGGAGAACAACACAGCAACTTGATTATGCCTCTCTCTGTCTCCCAGTCTTTCTCTTTCCACCTCCCCCTCTCTGGCCTTCTTCTGCAGCCCCTTCTCTTGGTGTCACCCTCCCTCTGTCTGCTCTCTCTGTGTATGTCTGTGTGTATTTATCTTTTAAGTTTAAAATTTTGTTGGTAAGATCTATATACAGTAGTCTGTAAAAGTATGAAAAAAATCTTTTGCATTTCTATGGCTCAATCTGTTTATTTACGCTCTGCTGATGTCTATGAATTTCCACTCATTTTTATTGATCAGATTTGCTAAACCTTTGTCTATTTAGTTGATCTTTTCAAACAAGCAATTCATGGTTTCATTATGCTTACTTTGTTTAGAAATATTAGAAAATCTGTTTTCTTATACAATACTTATAAAACTTGGTTTCGAATCATTAAACTTTGCACTGTATTAATATCTTTCCTTTCTCTCTGGATCTGTTTTTTCTTCCTTTTCCTGATGTTTTCAGTAAGTTCTTATTTTCATTCTTACTGAATTTAATGATAATAGCTATGAACTTTTACCAAACATAGCACAACTTTGGCCTCATCCTGTAAGTACTAATGGTTATGTATACAAGGTCTACAATTTTGAAACTTTCTTAGTAAGGGATTGTATATGCTGGAAAAACTGTTAAAGTTACCAACTAGTATTGGTGTTTCTGTCAAATCTGCCTTATATTTCTAACAATTCTTCCTTTATATATTTTGACAGTGTTTTTGAGTGTTTAAGAGGACAATACAATTTTGTCTTTGTGTTGTATTGTATGCTCTTTATTATTACAAAATTATCCTCTTTTTGCCATGGGATATTTTCTGACTTCTTTCTCTAGTGTTAATACTGTAAGTCTTGCTTTTTTTGTCTTCAAAAGCGTTCTTTAACTGATTTTTTTCGAACTATCATAGAAAAGTGGTTATCATATACCCTTCCGTATTTGAAACATGAATTCACTTTTACTGTCATCTCCCCTTCTCAAATGTTGTTAGTTTAATTTGGTATTTGAATTCCAGACTGCTATTAGTTTTTTCACTTTCCTCTTTAAGCGTGATCTGATATTCGCAGTCGATTTGACAATAGTTACCACAGTGATTTATCTCTTTTGCGGTCAGTGCTCACTGCTAGATCTTTTCCTCCATGACTTCCTTATTCTTTTGTCATAATTTGGCATGATCTCTTAATCAGGTAGAGTATATTCACAATTCCTGTTCAGCAAGCCAATAAGGATGTTATATTCAGAAAGTGTGTTCTTTCAGTTGCCTTTCCACATGAAAGATACTTAACAGCATTATATAAAATTAAAGGGTAGGAAGTCTCTGCCCCCAAACTATAGATGTTTTCTATTGCCTCTTGGCAATGGCTGAGATTAAATGAGCATGGTTTGGTTTTTATTCCCTCAAGTGTAATGTAATATAAAAGTAACATTACCTAATTGCTTATAGGAATTCTTTAAAATTTTGAGAGGACATGGTCATTTATAAGACTGATAAAATTCCTTTTCATTGACTTTTGCCTAAGTATAGTGAATCCTTCCAATCTGTATAGAGGAGAATTTCTTCAACACTGAAAATTTTTTGTTATATTTCTGTTTGTTTTCTTTTTTTAACTTCAAATATGCCAAAAGTTTTCTGAAGTATTCTTTTGGATATTTCTTTTTAAAAATTGTGTTTATAAAGGAATTGCCCCTATCCTGCAGCAACGACCAGAGTTCAACCAAAATAATCACAAAAGTAAAAAAATGCAAAGATGACTCATTAATACCAGGAAAAGACATGCAGGTTGGTTAGTAGCTCTGTAATTTATAATAGAATGAAAAGAAGTTAAGAGTAGCAGTGATGGTAGCTATGCATGGGACAGGTTCTGCAGTAGGCCTGAATGTAATAAATAGTTTAGCAATTTATGGAAAAAAAATCATAAAATAGGGCAATAGCACTATGACTCCATTCACACAACATTTGTAGCAAATACCTACTAGGTTACTAACTTCACCATTCTTAGCTAGCTAGCTAAGTGTTATTCCAATAACAGCTAGCTAGTACTATTCTAAGGTACTCAAACATTTTATGTATTATAAATCAATCCAGAATGTTCCACCAAATACCATGTTAAACAGTTGAATGTAGATTATCTCAAACGAACCTGTGTAACTTTCATCATCATCAGATAAAGGCACCTCTCTTTTTAGCAGCAACTCCAACTCCTCTGTTTCTGCTACGTCCACTGGACGCTCTCCATGTTTATTAGCTTGGAATGGATTTCCACCATGTCGAAGTAAGAGTTTCACGATCTGCAACATTAAACAGTAGTTCCTTCATCATATCATTTCGACTATTCTCTTGATAACTCTCATAATACCCTTAAAGTGTTACCTCATCTACTCCGCATCCATTCCTCATACTGTCTACTCTAAATTATTAACATCTTCAAGTTCCATCTTCCTTGACTCAAGAAAACAAAGAAATTTTCTTCTTAAAATTTAAACTGGGCTATTTTAGCACTTTTTTTTTTAAGCACATCTCGATGTTTTTCTTCCTGTTTCATCATAAAGTCAACAGATGTTTACTGAATATTTATTAAAAAGTATTGTTTCAATTTCTGCTAATAAATCCACAAACAAGAATAATAAGCTCCCAGGCTTTTTGGAATGTACACTTGAAGGAGTCTCAAAGAAAGTATTTCCCGTTTATTTAAGGCTGATACCACTACCAATGCTCTTAATCTTACTCTCTTTCCCATCTCCCGCAAGATTTTAACTACCATTAGTTTGTGTGGATTTACCTAGAATGAATGAAGCCTAAATTTCAAGGCCCTCCACTTTCATGAACCCCTTACAAGTCCGTCTATTGAATTTTGTATTCATCACTTATAAGGCTTTTCTATTTTCCCACCAAATTATGTTTCAGTCTCCATAAAACCAGGATGTGCCCAGTTAGTCATCGTTTCATTTAGTTTTTTCTTCTTATCCTCTTCCTTTCTATATATATATATATATATATATATATATTTTTTTTTTGTCTTTTTGTCTTTTTCCGTGTCTGGCAACGGATTGCAACCCTCAGTGTTGCCCCCGCACCGGACCGGGGACCGGCAATGGGATCGCAACCCTCGGTGCTGCTCCCGCGCCTCGCTCAGCCAGTGAGCGGGAACCGGTCTGCATGTGGGATCCGAACCCTCGGGCGGGAGCGCCGCCGCGCTTCCCAAGCGGCGCACTGTAGCAGTGCGCCACCGGGCCGGCCCACCTTTCTATATTTTAAACCTCTTTTTGATTGGGTCCTTTCTAGAAATCAGTCCTTCCAGTTCATGTCTTTTTTACCTTAAAAAAAAGGATGGCAATAAAGAAATAAAACACAAACAAGAAACTGTTCAAACCTATATCCCCCTCTTCCAGCTACATCTTTCTTTTCTCAGTCAAGCTCCTGATAAGATGTTTATCATTGTAGCCTTGATTTTTTTTAATTGGCCCATCACTCTTTTTTTTTTTTTTCTTTTTGTCTTTTTTCGTGACTGGTAACGGGATTGCAACCCTCGGTGTCGAGCCCGTACCGCGACCGGCAACGGGATCGCAACCCTCGGTGTCGCGCCTGCACCACGCTCAACCAGTGAGCGGATCGGTCTCTACATGGGATCCGAACCCTCGGCGGGAGCGCCACCGCGCTCCCAAGCACCACACTCTACCGAGTGCGCCACCGGGCCGGCCCAACCCTTCACTCTTTTAAGTACACTCCCCTCAGTCCTATGAAATGGCTCTTCTAAGATCTGTAAAGATCTAAACCAGCGTTGGTTTCCCTGTGGCTCTGTCCTTGATCTACTTTCTCATGCTCTAGAAAACATCATCTCTTTGGAGATCTCACTCACTCTGAATGCGATGACAATCATACAATTAATTCGTTCATTTTCATTCTCTTGCTTGCTCTCTCTCAGCCCTTTCTTGAGCTCCAAACCCAAATATTCAAATGCTCATTGGATACATCCAACTGAATATACATGTATTTTAATACAAAGGCCTGAAACCAACAGGACCCAAATGAAGTTCACTGAACTTGTACCCTTACCTTTTATGTATTTCCATTCTCAGTGACTGGCACCAAAATCTGTCACTGAAGCCTTCTAGAAATCTGGGAGTCATCACTGACTCTTGTTTTTCACTCATACTCTACATCAAAGAGGTGGTCAAGTGTTATTAACTCTGCTTCCTTACCATCTCTTCTTGTTTTGATCTTGTATCTATTTCCATTAACACTGGGGTATTCCATCATACAGAAAATTATACTATAATTTATTAGCACATTTCCCCTCTTATTCTAGACTATAAGCTTCATATAGGATCATCTATTCATCTCTGTATTCTAAATACATAACTTTTTTGGTACTTAGTAACATGCCTTTTTAAAGACTGTTTAAATGAATAACGTGAAACAGATGAATATTAACTGCATTTATCATTAAAGGAACAATTTAAAACAAAGATGCTGTAAATCAGTTATTTCTAACAAATTAAAGTATTTAAGAACAATGGGGATTCACAATGAATTAAATAATGAAAAATTTTTCTAGAGTATCACTGTATAAAATTTGAAATGTAAGAATGAATAAAGAAAACAAATTACGGTCCCTCCTAACTGGTAAAAATTAATAAACAAAGGAGAATAAAATATTATCAAATTACACATGCTTATGATTTTAAAAGATCAACCAGCTTTCCAAAGCTATTGATTAAGAACTGTCCGATATTTATCTCCATATCCCAGTCATCTACCAGGGTGGGAGAGGTGCAATCATTTTGCTGTGTAGGGTTGGAGAGGGGATATGAGGGTCAAAAAGACTTTAATCCAATCCTCTTATTTCCAGTCCTATCTTAACAAGTGCTTCCAGAGGTAACTAACTGGTGCCATCAATTCCTGAGTTTTAGTTTTTCGGAATTCTGTGCTGTAGTTTTTCTGGGATTCTGGGATTTGGTTTCAATTTTCTTATCTCTCCTAAATCAAATTTGTGGGCAAATTACGGCCTCTGGGCCAAATCTTATCTGCCAGCTAAGAATAGTTTTTATATTTTTAAAGGATTTGTAAAAGAGGAGGAGGAAAAAAGAAGGGAGGGAGGATGGAGGAGGAGGAAGAGGAAGCGGAGGCGGAGGCCTACAAAGCCTAAAATATATTTACTATTTGGCTTTTTATAGAAAAAGTTTGCCAAATCCTGTTCTAGGTCAGTAACTGCTCATTAATCTAATTCCCATCTTCTGAACTACTGGTTTTCTGTTTCTTTTTTCTTTGTCCTTGTGGGTCTATGTCTTTTAAAATCTCCTCTTACTGTCAAATTTTGGGGTTTGAGAAGATAACTGAAGTAAAAAACTGTCAGTCATTATAAATAATACTGTAGTAAACAGCCTTTTATTTATTTATTTTTTGGCAGCTGGCTGGTATGAGGATCCAAACCTTTGACCTTGGCTGAACATCTTTATGAGTCGTAATTCCTCCATTTTTAGGTTTATTTCCTTAGACTAGAGCCCTAGAATGAGAAGACAGAATAAGGGATCTTGATACTGCTGAAAGCTTTCTACCCTCACCAGGAAGTAATCAACAAATATTTATTACATGCCTATGATGACTTAGGTATGGTTGGTTCATTCAAACTTGTTACAAAAACTCTGACAGCTGGCCGGTTAGCTCAGCTGGTTAGAGAGGGGTGTTATAACACCAGGGTCAGGGGTTAATATCCCTGTACTGGACTGCCACCAAAAAAGCCCCAAGAAAACCACATTAAAACGGTAAATTAAAAAAACTCTAACACAAATAATCAACAATTTACTTATCATCCTCATGTGCAGATAATTACTTATTTTAAAAAGTATTTAGGCTGGCTGGTTGGCTCAGTTGGTTAGAGCATGGCAGTTGTAACGCCAAGATCAAAGGGTTCGGGGATCCCTGTATAGGCCAGCCACCAAAAAATAAATAAATAAATAACTAAATAATTAAAACAAAAAGTATTTAAGGCAACTTAAAGTTGCTTAAAAACGTTAACAGGCAATAAATGAGAACTATGTAAAAATGATGAGAGTCAAAGGGTTCGGGGATCCCTGTATAGGCCAGCCACCAAAAAATAAATAAATAACTAAATAATTAAAACAAAAAGTATTTAAGGTAACTTAAAGTTGCTTAAAAACGTTAACAGGCAATAAATGAGAACTATGTAAAAATGATGAGACAAAAAATGATAACAGATACCTCAAATGTACCTAGAAATAAGGCTAATAATATAAGTGTATACTCATATTATAAAGTACTATACACTTGCAAAAGGGGGGTCAAAGATTAGTAAGAAATGTTATTCCTCTCTTACTATAAATAATTTAGACTTGACTACTGAATTGCTATCTTTCTGCTTCTCCTGTCTTAGAAATGCTTTATTGGATGGCTGAGTTTGTCGTGACTATTACTGAGTGAAAGAAACCCAATCCTTTGGTAGAGGCTCATAATACATGGTACAGATATAAAGAAATGAGAGTTTTTGGCAGCTCTCATTTCTCTCCTCCTTAGGCACAAGTAAAAGAACAAGGAGAAAAAAACCTCTCAATAGGTCTTGAATTGGGACTCCTACTATTGTAGGCATGTTGGTAGGAGGAAAAGCAAATGTCTCTCCAGAAAACAGTATGCTAGTCTTCCCTTGGAAAGAGACCGGAAGTAGTGTTTGAGTCCTTCTAAGAACATGAGCTCAAAAGTCAACTCCTGGAAATATTTTACAGTTACATGCAAATTTAGAAACTTGTACTCACAGAAACATATCTTAGTCACAAGACCTAATTCATTAAAATTATACTTAGAAATCAGGAAACCTTGAGTTCCGGTCAAGATGGCAGAATAGATGGTCCCCAGTGTCACTCTCTTCCACAAATCAACCAATTTATAACTATAAAAATGTAACATCAGCCAAGCTGGGCTGCTGGAGCTCAGGGGAAGAGGAGGAGAGACCTACAGAGTTCATGAAGGTGGGAGAATCCACGATGAAAGAAAAGAAAAAAAAGCTCTGAGGGTTTGGGGCTGCAGTTGCTTTAAGGCTGGAGCTGATGAGCACATGGAGCAGGAGCCAGGAGAAGCCACAGCTGTGCCCTTCAGATGGAGTTACTTGGAGGTGGCAGCGGGGAAGAGGGCCTCGGTGACCCCCAGGACAGAAAGTCTTCCCTAGGGAAACAGTAGCAAAGCAGCAATTTAGCTCAACCACACAGCTTAAGTACTGGTTCCCACAGGAAGTTCCCCCGTTTTAGAAGTAAGCAAAGGACAAAAAATTAGTTCTGGCCCAGGCATACCACCGGCACCTTGGGGCCTGCCTGGGTACTGGAGGCTTGGAGCTGGGGACCAGACACCATTCCCACATCCAGGCACACTAAGCCAGTGCCTCAAGGCCGGCCCAGGGACCCAAGGCATGGAGAAGGGGACTGGACCCCCTCCCGCAACCAGGCACACTGTGCCAGCACCTCGGGGACCCACCCGGTGACCCAAGGCATGGAGGTGGAGAGCAGAACCCCCCTCCCACAACCAGGCACACCACACCAGCGCCTCAGAGCATGCCTAAAACATCACCTCCATGTGGGTGGCCCACCACTGCCACCAAAAACCAGGGCTGCCATGAAAGTGGCTAGATGCCACAACTACCACGCAGATGGTTTGCAGCCACTGGAGTGCACTGACACAAGAAGAGTCACCAGCAGAGATAAAGAAAAGAAGAGGATGTCTCTCTCCACAAAGCTCATTTCAGTGTGGCAGAAGCAGCATCTGCTCTATGATAATATTGGGGGACCTGATCACACCTCTCAGCATTGGACAGATCATTTAGACAACAAATCAACAGAGTAACCACTCTTCTTTCAGAAGGAGAGAAGAAATCTAGGATAATTAGAGGGGAAAGGGGGAGAGACTGGACAAGGGGCATAAAGAATAATTATGATTTGTAACAATACATATGCTAGTAATACTGATTTGATTAACATATCTCAATGTTGAACCCCAAAATATGTATAATCAATTTTGATTCAGTTAAAAAAAAAAAAAGAAAGATAAATCAGGAAAGAGTTATATATCATATTTACAGAAAAAATTTTCCTCTTTAGTAAACTATCAATAATGCTTTAAGAAGGGCAAAAAGTATAGTATTTAAAGTATCATTGCCAGAAAATAAATCAGTTTCTGATAAATTCAGAGGAAAGGGCAATGTACCCTATAATCAGGCCTTACAATTTAAGTCTTTGATATTCTGTTTATCCTCAGTCAGTTATCCATTCATCCATCCATCTACACAGGCATCCATGCCAAATTTATTGAGTATTTCTTATGTGACAAGCAGTTCCACAGTCAGTAACAGAAAACAGCACAAACTGCCCGCATATGTGGTATTTATAGTCAAGAGCAGGAAACATGGCACTACACAAGTACATCAGTAAAAAATAATATAGTATGTGCCATCACACAGGTATGGACAAATTGCCAAGGGAGGAAAGAGACAAGAATGGCCCAATGGTAAGCAATGACCAGTTTAGGAAAAATAATACTTATACAGTCTACATTTTTCTTCAATTAAAATTAGAACTTGTTTATTGAGAAACATGGAAAAATACCTTATAGAAAAATGTAAGTGAGAAAAATAGCATTTTTAATATCTAGATTTTAGTTTCTAAAATATTTGGGTACATTTGAAAAATAGCAACATAAAGGCAGCTTTTTAAATCTTTTACCTCTGATGTTTCTATAATATTTTGGATTTCAAGGTATTTTTACATGCACGGTATATGTTTTTCCTTCAGAATATCCCCTGTAGACAGGTATTATTTATCATATGAGTATAATTTAAAGATGAGCAAATGGAGGTTCAGAGGAAAGAAGTAAATTGTTTGAAAACACATAGCCAGTAAACTGGCCAGGCCAGAACTAAACTCACATCTATCTTCACATCAAATTGCTTTTTTGTCTCAGCTAAGTAAAATGCCTTTTAAAAGACAGTCCAACACTGTAAAATTTTTATTGGAAGTAAAATCTGCTTTAATTCACTACATATACTGCTTTTTTGTCTCAGCTAAGTAAAATGCCTTTTAAAAGACAGACAGTCCAACACTGTAAAATTTTTATTGGAAGTAAAATCTGCTTTAATTCACTACATATAGTTGTCTGATAGGAGAATGTGTTAAAATAAAAATTTTGCCAAAATCAATTACCAAATTGAAAGGATTATTTTATTTTATTTTATTTTTATTTATTTATTTATTTATTTTTGATCAAGCAAAAAACGTATTTTAATTTTTGTATACACGAAAAGTGAAAGGATTATTTTATAAAAAGATAATGCTAAATCTGATTCAGAAAGCAGAAATAAGAGAAAAACAAAGTATAGATGAGTTGATTAAGCAATGAGTAAAATATGACACAAACCACATGACTAAGAAGTGAACTAAATTACTCTGGCTTGAATGTATATTTTGAACATATTATTTTTTCTATCATACTTACATCTCTGTGCCCACTACTTGCAGAATCATGGAGTGGAGTGTCATCATCTAATCCTTGTGTGTTAACATCTGCTCCAGCTGCTATAAGTATCTTAGCAACATCATAATATCCAACATTGCAAGCTTCATGCAGTGGTGTCCAACCTAAAATTAGAATATTAATTTAACATATGGTTCACTTACATGAATTCAAGATATAATCTTTCTGTATATACATACCTATGTGTGATATATCAATTCGAAATTGTATATGGTGCAAAAGGACAAAGGAGTGATGAAGAAGCTACTAAAAATAAATATGAGAGTACTTCAATAAACTCATGGAAAGATTTGTATTATCTTTTAACTCTATTTTTCCATGAGCTTTTTGAAGTATCCTCATATCTAAGAACACCACCAATTTTACAGACAGTTCCTTCAAGATAATACTATTTCCACTGAGGCTAAATTGTTTGATGAAAGTATTAAATATTTAAGCTTATACAATAAATATAAACTTTACATAATTTATAAGAATCATCTGAAGTATGGGAAAAAAGAGGAAAAGAAGGCAAAATATTAATAAACTTGATTACAGTCTTTCAGTAAGCAAAATCCCTATGTTTTAAGAATTTTATTCTGTTAAGCTGAAACAATATTTTCTGGACTTCATACTTATTTTAGATAAAATAAATTTATCATTATAATTATTTTTGCAATAAAAACTTACACGTTCACCAAAAAATTAGAAAACATTAAAAAGAAAATGAAGAAAATAAGTATTCCACCACCCAATATAATTTAAATAATCCAGCATAAATCTACTAGTTCCCTCCCTCCTACATTTATAAAACTTGGGTGGATAATGTTTAACCTGCTTCCTCAACTTACTGAAGTGAGAATAACTCTCCATGTCATTGTACTTTTCTACTAAAGTACTATACTATTTAATACACGGTAATTTATTTCAACAAGCTCTTATTACTGGGGATTTAGATTATTGCTAGTTTTTAAATATTAGAAACAATGCTATAATTAGATATCCTTACAACTAAATCTTCATGCACACCCATGACTAAATATTTGAAATAAATTCTTAGAAGTGAACTTGTCAGATCAAAGGGAAAGTACAGTTTTTAGGCTTCTGATAAATAATGTTAACTTTTCCTCTAGAATGGCTGCTGTGCATTTCAAGTTTCATTCTTTAAAGCAGATCCTGTGTATCACTTCTTTCCCCGCTCACACAAAATAGAGAAATAAATTTCAGGTGTATTGTACTAGCACTGCATGTAAAAAGAAACAAAAATAAAATCTGGAAAACAGAAAATATAGTAATATAATTTTATGATACAGAGACAGAGAAGACCTTCTTACAATACCATACCAAGAACCCATAAATGAAAAGATCAATTGATATGATTACATAAAAGATTGAAACTTTAGTATGATAAACACTATTAAAAATTCAATATAAGGTATAGACAGTAAAAATCTTTACATTTATGTCAGAGAAATAAAATCTAGATTAAATGAAGGGCTCTTACATGTTAAAAATAGTACCAAACCAAAAGAAATTGGGCAAAGGACTGAATCTGGCAATTCACAAAATATATACAAGCTTATAATAAACACAAGAAGAAATGTTCACTACCACTAGTGATTATAGAAATTCATATTAAAATCAGATCTTATTTTTCGTTTATCAATTAACAACAGGTTTTAGTGAAGATGTGATGAAAAGGGCTGCTTCATACACTTGATGATGGTGTAAATTGATAGTAGAATTTTTCTGGTGGGCAGTTCACTAATATTTCAAAAATTTTAAATATTCATTTCCTTTGATTTAGCAATTTCACTTCTACTAAAATACTTCCATAACTATACACAAAGATGTTTCTATAAAAAACACTATGGTGTTCACTATAGAATTGCCTATAAAAATCTATACTGAAAAATATTAGGCAGCTGTTAAAAATGAATGAAGTAGGCCTACCTATATGAAGAGATAGAAATATCTTCATGACAGTAAGGCAGGCTGCAGAACTACAGACTGATACAGATGGAATAATTTTTTTTTTTTTTTTTTTTTGTCTTTTGTCTTTTTCGGTGTCCGGCAACGGATCGCAACCCTCAGTGTTGCCCCCGGACCGGGGACCGGCAACGGGATCGCAACCCTCGGTGTTGCTCCCGCGCCTCTCTCAGCCAGTGAGCGGGAACCGGTCTGTATGTGGGATCCGAACCCTCAGGCGGGAGCACCACCGCGCTTCCCAAGCGGCGCACTATCCAGTGCGCCACCGGGCCGGCCCCATGTATTAGTCCATTTTTGTTGCTTATAACAAAGAACACTGAACTGGGTGATTTATAAAGAAAATGAAATTTATTATGATTCTGGGACAGCTGCATCTGGCATGGGCCTCAGGCTGCTTCTACTTATGGCAGAAAGTGGCAGGCAGCTGGCAGGTACGAGCGGATCACATGGTGAGAGGAAGCAAGAAAGAGGAGGTGCCAGGGTCTTTTAAACGACCAGCTCTCGTGGGAACTAATAGAGCAAGAACTCACTCATTACTCCCCCACCTAGGGAGAGCACTAATCCATTCATGAGGGATCTGCCCCTGTGACTCAAACTGCCACACTGTGGATAAGATTTCCATGAGTTCTGGGAGGACAATACATCCAAACTGTGTCACTGGAAAACCTCTGTTTTTGTCCTAAAGGCCTCCAAATGATTGGATAAGCCTAACCACATGATAAGGGGCAATCTCCTTTAAGGTCAACTGATTTAGATGTTAATCTCATCTACAAAATACATACCTTGAGAGCAACACTTAGATTAGTGTTTGATTATATAACTGAGTACTATAGCCTAGCTGAGTTGGCACATAAGTCACCCTGTCAGTTTCCTTCTGGGTGGATGTTCCCGTAGCCCATATCTGTTCATACGTGTTCTACTCCACTGAAGTGCCCTCAGCTGTGTGCCCTGCTGGACTGTCAGCAGGGATCATGCCTTGTCTGCCCAGTGCCTGCATGAGATAGGAATAAACACACATACATGCAGACAGGCATGTATGGAAGTACGCCTGCAGAGATGTACACACACACATATGGAGGAGGGAGTGAATGTTCACTTTCTTGGTCCTCTGTTTTCTTGGATGCTCCATAGGAAGCAATATCCCAACAGTGCCCAACTGGTAACAGAGGACATTTGAAGGCAGGGAATGGTTATCAGGAAATGAGCATTTCAATGTGCCATGCAAACAATTTGTCATGTACTATACCCTGGGCTTGGATTCAAAGGTAGGAAACTGCAAGAGAGAAACACAGAACAGATAGGTCACTTTGCAGCTAAATGTTCCATACTCAGGAGTCTAGTAACAGTAACCACTAATCATTGTCTACCATCTGTCAAGGGCTCAAAAATTGTTACATGATTTTTCATTATGTAGCAATTATACATTTTCGGGTCATGCTCTTTGGGCTTGCAAGAAATATAATTGCTTTATTTCCCTATAAATTACTTTGTCTCACATCCCCCACTTATGCCTGATGGCGGAAACTTAATAGTTAATGCAAGGAAGACTGAGTCAATTCAGAGTTTTCTCAGTTAAATATTAATAGTCCTGTAGGTGAATGGATAAACTGTGGTACATGCAGACAATGGAATATTATTGTGTGCCAAAAAGAAATGAACTTTCAAGCCATGAAGGGATACGGAGGAAACTCAAATGCATGTTATTAAGTGAAAGAAGCTGATCTGAGAAGGCTACATACTGTATAATTTCAATTTATATGACATTCAGGAAAAGACGGAGATATGGAGAAATAAAAAGATCAGTGGTTGGCAGGGGTTGGGGGGAGGGAGGAATGAGCAGTCAGAACACAGAATTTTTAGAGCAGTGAAACTACTCTGTGTGATACTACAGTGGTAGATACGTGATACTACATGGTGTCCAGACCCATAGAATGTACAACAGCCAGAGTGGCCCTGGTGAAAAGCATGGACTTTAGGTGATAGTGATGTGTCAGTGTAGGTGCATCCATCGTAACAAATGTACCATGTGGGGGATGTTGATAACGAAAGAGTTTGTGGGGATGGGGTGGGGAGTATTTGGGAAATCTCTGTACCTTCTGCTAATATTGCTGTGAACCTAAAAGTCCTCTAAAAAATAAAGCCTATTAAAAAATAAAATCTCAGGGCCAGCCCGTGGCTCACTTGGGAGAGTGTGGTGCTGACGACACCAAGGCCACAGGTTCGGATCCTATATAGGGATGGCCGGTTCACTCACTTGGGAGAGCGTGGTGCTGACAACACCAAGTCAAGGGTTAAGATCCTCTTACTGATCATCTTTTAAAAAAATAATAAAAAAATAAAAATAAAAAATAAAATCTTATTAGTCCTCCTCCAAGGGGTTACATCTCATTTATGGGTGTACCCATGGCTTCAAAGAGGTGAGGGGAGAGTGTCTGTCCTTCATCACCAGGGATATCCACTGGATGTAGGTTTTCTCATCTGGTCCCCAGACACTGTCTTCCCTCCACCTTGATGGCTGATTAGTGTCATGGGGACTCCGTGGGGGTCGATGTCTCCCAGGGCTCGAGATGGGAAACTAAGGACAGGATCTGCAGACCTGTCTGACAGTTCTTCCACTTTCATGCCCAAGCTCTGCCTAAGGTAAGGCTTGTCCTCAGAGGCCCGTGTCAGTGCTGCTCTTTCCTCTTGCTCTTCACTGTCCCCTGATATGGAGATTCTGTTTCCCTTCAGGTGCTGGGAAAGAGTGGAGAGACGTATACCTGGATCGGCATGTGTTCTAGGATGTAATTTTTAATAAACATGCAGAGGTTTTTAAAATATTTAAAAAAAAAAAGGTGGTTACGCAGGTTGAGCCATTAGATCAACGGGGTTTGCTTTTTAAAGTCTGGAGCTTAGAACAACAGGGAAAGGTATCCTAGTCTAACACAGAAGATGTTTTGTCTATCCTATTAATGAGTTCTGCCCTGAACTCAGTAATTGAGTTAAAAGAACATAGGCTGGGTTGGGAAGCTGTCTATTTTTAGCTATTCTGAGACCTATCTTTAGTGAAGAACATTTAGGTACATGGAGGAAAACTCCATTTTATGAGGGTTTCTCTTTCTCTGCACTGGAAAGAAAAGAAGGACTAAATCACGAGAGGCTT